AAGGCCTGGCTCTGAGTGAGGCCACTGGGCCATCCTGAAACCTGGCCTGCTCCCTCCTAAACCTGCCTCCTGCCCCCCGCCACCCCCAACTTGCCATCTTTGCAGGGTTAACAAGTGTCTTTCTGGGCAGCCACCAGCCAGGTGAGATACTGCCTACACCCAAAGGCTCCCTTCACCACCAAACACCTCCACCTCTGCTCAGGCTCAGTGAGGGACCCTGATTTCCGATGACCATGCATTTCCGTTGGATTAAAATCCTCTGTTAAAAAATACAATGTACTATAAATTAACTTAAGATAACAGATGAAGCCAGGGCTATTAATAGCTGAAACAGCTGGCAGAGGTAGGAAACTGAAGGCTGAGATGGGAGACACATGCAACACGGTTCTAGGTGGGATGATGAGGGGGTGTCGTCATGGTGGGGGGAGTGGGGTCAACACAAGAGCACCTAGTTCTTAGGGTGGCAGCAGGTAGAGGCGAAGGACAAAGCCTCCAAATGCAACCATTTGCCTCTCAATGAAACTAGACGTTGATTGTCCCTTGTACCGGGAACACCATGAGCTGCCAGGACATTCCTGTACTATGCCCTGGCCTCCGACCGTCATGCCGAAGGGGTAAGATGCTGGGGGAGGGTGGGAGTGGGCGAGCAGGAGAGAGTCCTGTTACTAATGGGATTTACAATTGTACCTAGAAGGCCCCAGACTTGCTATAGGCCATTGCAGGAGTGGGTGGAGGGGGGGGAGGAACTTTCCAGATCATATTTCATCCCCTTGCAAATGGAACCCATCAAAACAACTGTTCCGATTCCTTGGCCTCCTTCCACCTGCTCACCTGGATCCAAGGGAAACCGGCTGCATTGTCAGCCCAGAGAAGCCAGCAAGACACACACCCCATCACGCACAGCACAAGGCGCCCGGCCTTCTGCAGGCGGCTGGGGCCTGAGCGCTGAGCGATGCTCCCATCTCCCCCTTTGCTTTCCTCCACCGATTCCCCCAACTGCTTCCCAATGCTGCCTCATCTCCCTTTCACGTGGTGCGCGCTGGGGACAGTGGACGGGCATTTGGAACCTCTCTGCAGCGTGCACTCCTGTAGTGCGGAGGCTGACGGTTAAGCTACGTGCACGTCAGGCCCTCCATGAGGCTGTGGCCGTGGTTGAATCGTCAGCTTCTGGTAATGCCGGGCACTAGTGTGCAGTCTGGGCTGAGGACATGAGGCAGCGCCCACCTTTCTGCTCCTCGTCAGACCCAGGGCAGCCGCTTCCCCATCTTCCTGCTTTGGGCAGAGGCAGCCGCCCCTCCTCAGGAATGTTCTGGAACATTGCTCCAGCCCTCCGACGACTTGAGGAGCACCCAATTCCTCAGAGTCATGTTTTGTCTATTTAAATGGCTTCATGTTTTCTGCAGCTGAACCTTCTCTGGGGTAGCGCCCCTTTTTGTGTAGATTAACATCAACTTTTCAGATGGAAAAGCAGCTGGTGTTCCCGAACATTTCCCTGAAAGAACGCCTCTGGGATGAGAACCAATGACTGGTTGCCGTGGCAGAGCCTTCGATCTCCCTTCTGAGGTGCATCGATGCACCCATCATCCTTCTTAACGGTCTCAACCCACTGCCCACATTTTAGGGTCTGGGCCCACCATTCTGCCTCGAGTGCTCTCTGAGTGCCTGCAGGGCATAGAACCTTGGACAAGGTGCCCAGAGAAACCTAAGGGCAGGAGCTTGCAAAGGTGTCTCATTCTGGGACGTCAGCGCTCATTTGCGAAGCTGTAAGTCAGACAATCCATTCGGTCTCCTTCACAGCCACGGCACATAGCTGACCCCATTCCTGTCATAGATTTTTAAACTCCAAACACAGATCCGGGTTGGTTGGTTTTTTTCTGGGGAACGATCGAATTAATGACTTGCCCTTTGGAAGCAAAGTCTGATTCATCAGCCACAGGCAGAGGTTATTAATTCGGCCAACGGGGGGAAAATCACTTGGGATTTTATTCTGCCCAGAATTCACATTTGGGCCATTTTCGTTCCCTCACTGCTTCATTGTTTTCTATGAATTTCATTTGGAAAAGAACATGTAAAAAACATTTTGAAATACAGATTTCTTTTTTTGCTTTTAAATATTAGGCTGACATGATCGCTTGTACCCACTTTATGCACTGAGAGGAATTCATGTCAATGCCACAATTTAATTTGATGATGCGGTCTGGCCATTGAGGAGTGATCAGTCTTGGACATCTTTCTAAAATCATGCATTCTTCTAAAGGGGGTGCTTCCTCCTAAGAAAATTACTACCCAAATGAGCCACAGGTACTGCCAGGAGTGTGTTACATCCTTTGTTTTTAGCTTGAGTGGGAGGTTGAGAATTCTTGCCAAACACACTGATTCCCAAAGCCCTTGGAGCTAAGAGGCTCTCCTGTGCAGGCCCGAAGAGGAGCCTGTGGAAAAACCTGGGACAGCTCAGGCCTCCACCAGTCCTGGCGCTAAGATTTGCCTGTGGAGCACATATTTGTTTGTTTGTTCTTACATGCAGGCTTTTCGGCTGGGACTCTAAAGTAGTCAACTTTGGGAAAATTCACAATTGAATCAATCTCCCAGGGCTTTTGTTTCTGCCATGTCAGGGAGCGGGTCCCCCTGGTGTTTCCTGATCTGGCAGCAATGACTGGAAATCCTGGCCCGGCTTCAAGTTCCCCAGGCCCAGGAGAAAGATTGACATGCTTCCAACTGAATGACCTGCTCACTGCTGGGCTAATGGATTCCTTTGCCAGGAGTGCCTTGACATTTTTGGAAAATCAAGAGCTCAGAGAATGAATGCATTGTTTAAAATGATGACTCTTCTCTTTTTCTACTTTATCTGACGGTCCGTTTTTTGCTTGTGTGAATTATCCATGCAAGAATTCTTAGGAGACCTGACATTAAGCCTCTTCGAGAGATTCAGAAATACAGAATATTATGTTCTATATTTAGGTGAGGACAGATGTTTAGTAGGGTGGGTGTAGATAGAAGTCATAGTGCATGGTGATTAAGGAAATGGGCTTTGGAGGTGGGCAAATGATGTGGCTGCTCTGTGCCTTGGTTTTCCCATCTGGACAATGGGCATAATGAGAGTACCTAACTGACTATTGACTTTTCAAATTCAATTAGACAACACACATGGAAAGACTGAAATAGGGCCTGATCTACAGGGTGTAGTCAGTAAATGATAGCCACTTTTCATATGATTAGAATAAAAAACACAGGAGGAGATATAAGAAGCAATTTCATTCTCATAGTCAACAATCTATATTCTTAAAAATCGTTCCCTAGATGATCATTTTCTCTTAAGGAAACGTATTCGCTTATTATTTCTGAGATCATATGCACACTGCAAAGAAATGTATATATTTTTAAAAATCTATTAGTGCCTTCCTAATGTAATCTATGATTGGGATATTTATACATGTTTGTGAGGGGTGAGCAACCTCCTTTTAAAAGTCATCTCTCTCCTTCCAGGTAATTTACTAACAAGACATTCCAAAAGTGAGTACTCACTCTTGGCACAGTGGTTAAAAAAATCTGCAATGTTCTCTTTTCAAAATACGGAAACCTCTGGCCTATTTCCTCAAATAGTAAAATTTATGTGCCTCGAATCTCACAAGAAACCTATAAATACTAAACCTGAGATAACTTAAGAATCCTGGCATGCCTCAGAGATGCCCGAGGGCCTAGCAGAAGAAAAAGCTCCCCCAGCTACAAGCAGCCAGAAAGAACACGCACCGTTGGTAGGGGGAGATGAACAGGAAAAGTCCAATCGCCAATATTCACCCACAGGCTGATTATTCAATTGATGACTGAGTTTAGTACAAGAAATACTTTTATGAGGAGAAAGATTAATATTGAATACTTTAATCTGGAGGGGAAAAACGATTTGCCCAAAGCATCTAGAATTTTATAAAACGAAACTATCAAACTGTCTTATATCAAAAAAGGAAAAAGAAATAAGAGAGAAGGATATCACCACCAACACAAACATCAAGTTTAAATATAAGGGAGGTAATTAGAAATTCAAATTAGGTAGGCTATCTCTGATTTTAATTGGACCATTAAAGAACTCCATTTTTAGCTACTGTAGAAAACAATGACCAATCCTGAGGGGGTAGGGGGGAATATTCTTGCCATTAAATTAGTATGGTATGTTTAAGAAATCCAAGTGTCATTTTCAAATGACAACCTCACAAATTATGACAAAGCTTTATCCAGACATATTTCAATCATAGCTCTATTACAGAAAACTTTTTATTTGTAATAAGAGAAACATTTTAGAAGACTGGGAAAGAAACACTTTTCATAAGACCCAAGAATATATTCAAGACCATTTGAAATTCCAGGGCTGGGCGAAGCTTACTGAATATCTCAGCGGGGTATCGTTCATGTGAGCGCAACTCAACGGATGCAGTGACATGCGACAGGATACACAATACGACAGGAGGCACCAAATCATAACTGATCATCTGGGGAAGTTTGATGGGATTAGCAGAATTTTTGCAGTTTGGAGATATCAACTGCACATCACATGTACTTCATGACATGAAATCACCCCATCTCCCTGTTGACACCTCGCCGTGTCCATGGCAAACTGAGAAGTTATGCAACCAACAAATCCAACTCCTCAGTGTTGCTATGGATGAAAAACAGCCCGTCCTCAAATGAGTCCTAACCCATGGCCATGGTTCATACTAAGTTTCTAAGAACAGAACGGGAAAGAACAGAGTTTAGAATCTCTGAGTTTAAGGCCAATACTGAACTATTTCTAAATGACTGCATTTGGAAATTGAGACCCTTGTATCAATCATTCTTACTCTGGCCATTCCAAATAGTCTTACTTTGCAAATAGGTAGTAAGAAATAATAAAACAGAAAAGATTTTACTGCATTTTTAAATTCCACAGCTATACACTAAATTGAAACATATGGGATACTCTATCCCTTTTGCATTCAGGAAAAGAAAAGCTTGGCCCATCAGAGACTTACATCATATCCGCTGTTACGAATTCCACGGCGGGGTCGCTCCCGTGTCACCAGGAGGTCCATCTCCGTTTCCCCCGGACTTGGGCTATTCAGAGACTGCCGGCTTCGGTAGACAGAGTTCTTCATCTGTTGCCTGTAGAAAATCCAACAACTGTTATGATGCAGCAAATGCCCTGACAGATGGAATTCTCCACTGATCCAAAATACAGGCAACCAATGAAGGGTTGGGTTGGATTCGCCTCACAAATTCTCAGAATTGAAGGCATTTGCTCCCCAGTCACCAGGGGCCATAGAAATAGTGGAATAAAGATTTTTTTTTCCCAGATGCTGTAACCATTTGGCTGAATTGTAAATGCTCTTTCATCTGGTAACTACAATCAATCGCAACACTGCAACCTCATCTAAAATCCTGCTGCTGGCTAGGCCGATGGCTTTCCCTTGACCCTTGAAAAGAGCTAACACTGGAAGAACAAACTTGCTTCTGTTGACTGTTGACTCAGCAGCCTCCTGTTCTTATTCATCTTTCCGATTCTGCAGGCAGGGCTCCATGATGTGTTAATAAGCCCGGAGGCTAATGGGATGCTTCATACTGACACTTGGATAGACTTTCTTTTCTACCTTCCCCACAGTGGTTTCCCCTCTGGCCTAAGGAGTTATCAACTAGAGGCAGTTTGGGGCTCCTCTATCCATTGGTCCATCCGTCCATCATACCTAATATTTACTGAGTACCTACTATGTTCCAGTCACCATGAAAGGTGATGAAGGTCCACAGTGAGCAAGACAGAGCTTACATTCTAATGAGAGAGACAGATAAACCACATGATAATTTCAGAGTGATAAGTGCTCTCTAGATAGTGTAAGCCCCTTGCGTAAGAAAAACAAGGAGATGAGAAGCACAACAAAACCGTTGTGGGGATGTAAAGTACTGCATAGGGAATGCACAGTCAGTAATGTTGTAATAACTATGTATGGTAGCGGCTGGGTGCTGGAAGTATCAGGGCGAACACTTATACAGCATATGATTGTCTAACCACTATGCTTTCTACCTGAAACCAACACAAAATAATATCGAATAAACTGTAATTGGAAAAATATGTTTAAAGCCAAAATAAACACACACACACACACACACACACACACACACAACTGTTCATCTAGACTTCAAAAACGTGACACACACTTCAATAGCGGATAGCTCAATTTGGAACATAAAATGTATTTTAATAAACACTGCCTTAATAATTATTCAGTGTACTAGTATGTACACATTTTTTGGGGGGGGGTCACCCTATATATGTAATATTCATATGTGTGTGTGTTTAATCAACCATAAAGCATAGTATTGTTGTCAATAAAAGCTTATATTAATGTTCAGAAAAACAACAAGGGGATGTGACCGAGGGTGACGATGATGGGGGACAACTTTAGGGAAGGCCTCCCAGGAGAGGTGACAGTTCAGCCGAGACCTACAGGCAGCCACATGCCCACCTGAGCACCAAGCACCTAGTCCCAGGGAGCAGCACGTTCAGAGGCTCCCCTTGGAACCCCCTTGGAAATGCCGACATTTGCCACCACTGTCCTGTTTCCCTTGTCATGAGAGGAACTTTTTGAGGAGGAGGAAAAACACAGCAACGAAGGAGGGTTGTGGCTTTACTTTGCTTTTTCCACAGGAAGTAACACAAGTGGGGAGTGAGGCCCAGTGGGGACAGGGGGTTTTCACGTGATCCTTTGAACGACAAAATCACCAACTTCCTTCTCATCCAACAAGAAGTTTCCCTCTGTTAACAACTCGCATTTCAGAGCATCTACCTTGAGCAAACTCGCCAAATACCACCTATTTTATGTCTTGATTCTAACATTCTATCTACTCACGGGTTGAAGGTAAAACAGTTGCTTTATTTGTTCTCAGTGGCTCTGTGGGAAACCAGAAATCTGGCAGGTATACACGCCTTTTCAAGATCACACACCCAGCATGTCCAAGCATGGCAGTCACACCCTGTTAGTCTAGAACAGACATTAGGACTCCCAAAGCAAAACACTACCCTTGCAATTAGCCCAGGGAATGACACAGACACCAACAGACCTACTCCCTCACCACGAGGGCTTACACCTATTTAGAGAGCACCTGTGATCTCTGCTTGCCTGGTACCCATATGCTGTTCTCTGTGGCCTTCGCTGGCTCCAGGGGTTGGCATGAGAATCAGGCTGTACAATCACAGCATCGCACCCCCGTGGCCACACTGATTGGTCAGAGGGACGTGGTCCAAGGACACTGAATCCCAGGGCTTTTGCTAGAGCAACCAGGAAACAGGCATTCTCTCGGCATTGAGGTTTCTAAGAAGATAGACTACAAGCCTAGAGGTGCTGCTGCCGCTAAGAGGTAAGAGCCTGCCTGAAAAGGAGCCAGAAAGAGTGAAGAGAGAGCAAGATAAATATGGGAGACATGGCATGATCCCTGGGATCTAGCCACACCGGAAGCCTTGACCTTTCAATTATGTTCAGTAATAAATTCCCTTTTACTTAACCTGTTTGTGCTAGATTTCCATCACTTGCAACCACAAGAATCCTGACGAATGTAAGAGGTTAAGCCCGACCATAATGAAATGTGCCCTAGAGTTGTCTGCAATGAGGGGCTTTCTTTAGGAATGGAGCACAACTTTGTCAAACAGAATCCGTCCTGAGTGAGTCACACTTTGAGACCCCACAAAGCTCTCTTCCTTGACCTAATTATAGACTTTTTTTAAAAGTAGATTTCACAGCTGCCCTGAGATTGCCAATTAGCCCATTTAGAAAAGATTTACTAAGACGGGTGGTTGGGGATAAAACCCTAGGATTAGTAAAATAGGTTATTTTGGAAGCATTAGAAATACAAAGTGAGATTGTGGAAGCCCCTTCAGGAACCACGGAGGTGGGTGAGAGCTTAGACGCTGAGTGCACGCCAGCCGCCTTTAGGATACAAGCTTCTAGGCTGCTGGTGAGTATGGATGGCAACCGACCAGACCCTCAGTGTGCAAGGTGTGCAAGAAACTACTTAGAAATACTTAGGCTCTTAGGTAGAGAGGTTACTTATTTTAACCAAATAGAGTTCCAAGAGGTGTATTCATTTCTTGTTATTTTGCTATATTCTTTAAAAGTCAATAAATTTGGATACTTGCGAACTTGAGAAGTTTGTGGGGTTTTTTTTTTATTTTTTATTTTTTTTTAACCTCTGAATATATAGCTGGGTAGATAATGATAAATTTTATTTAGATTTTTAGGAGCTTTTTAATCCTACTATAGTTTAAGAACGCAGTTCCCAAACTGTGTTCTAGAGAAAATGTGGTACATGTATACAATGGAATATTACTCAACATAAAAAGAATGAAATCTCACCATATGCGACAGCCTGGATGGATCTAGAGCAGCGGTTCTCAACCTGTGGGTCGCGACCCCTTTGGGGGTCGAATGACCCTTTCACAGGGGTCGCCTAAGACCATCGGAAAACACATATGTAATTACATATTGTTTTTGTGATTAATCACTATGCTTTAATTATGTTCAATTTGTAACAATGAAATTGGGGGTCACCACAACATGAGGAACTGTATTAAAGGGTCGCGGCATTAGGAAGGTTGAGAATAACTGATCTAGAGGGTATTATGCTAAGTGAAATAAGTCAGAGAGAGAAAGACAAATCCATATAATTTAACATGTATGTGGAGTCTAAAAAACAAAATAAATGAACAATCAAAACAGACTCATAGATACGGAGAACACACTGATGGTTGCCAGATGGAAGGGGGTATGGAGGATTGAGTGAAAAAGGTGAAAGGGTTAAGAAGTAAAAAAAAGTACAGCATAGAAAATACAGTCAGAAATACTGGAATAAATATGGATGGTGCCAGATGGGTAGTAGACTTATCAGGGGGATCACTTCACAAGTTATAGAAATAAATGTCTAACCACTAGGCTGAACACCTGCAACTAATATAATACTGAATGCCAACTATAATTGAAGAACTAAAAAAAGCTTCAGCTGAAAGTTTTATTAATTTCTCAAATAGCTTCCAAGTTAAGTTCTCATTGGCACATGATTTTTGATTCCTTTTCTAAGTATCATCAGGAAACCCAGAAAAAACAACTCCCCACCCTGTCTATAAAAGACTGCTGAACTAAAAGCTCTCAACATGCTAAGTAAACTCTAAAGAAGCCCCCAGCCTCCCCATAAAATCCCTATCTTCTCTTCTTTCTACAGTTATCAACATGGTGACACCGGCATTGTGTTCCCTGTCACAGTGTGGTTTCACATCAATAGCTTGCTGTCCCTCCCGAGCCTAATGAGAAGCATGTCAAATGAAGCACTGGTTTAAAAATCCTTCGTTTCTTTGTTGAAAATAAATTCTGTCAATTCCGTTCAAAAAGTTTAGCCTCACCTCCCAGCTGGATTTTGTGTCTCCCATCCAAGCCTGTCACATGGTCAAGTCTGCTTTTAATAAACACCCACTCAGGCAGGGAAAGGTCCTGTCCCACCCAGTCTGGGAAGAGTGTGTCTGGCAAGGCTAAGGGGCGGGTTAGACCATTGGCATGCTCCCAGCCAAGGGGCTGTCACCAAGGAGAATGTGTATTTGAAAGCCATGGTCTCAAATCATGAAGGAGTGTTTCTGAAGAAGTGCTTCGGGGTGGGGAGGAAAAGAAGAAAGATGGGCGTGCACAGCTTTTGCTAGAACTTCTCTTCCTTTACCCAGGCGGTGAGATCACCCTCTGCTTAGCTGGCAACAAAGCTTGGAAGGATGATAATTCAAACCCCTGGGCCTAACCTTCCCTTGGGAGGCCGGGTCCCCTGATAGACTGTTACAGCACCTCACATTTCAACTCCCATCACACTTGTGCGTGATAAACTTTTGAGGTGGTTATCTTTCTCTCCCACTTCGGACCTTAAGAGCAGCAATTGGGCTGTCTGGTCTGCCATAAAATGTTGAATGAGTTGAATGGATGAGTGAATAAATGAGTGAGAAAAAGCAACACGACTGTGACGGTATTCAGCATCTTGAGTGGTGGCTCATACATAGTAGGTGACACTAAATGTCAAATACAGGACCAAATCTATGAATTAAAGAGATGAACCCAGCATGGAGCTCCGAGTAGCTATGTGGTAAATACTTACTGCAGCTGAATGAAAAGGCGAGGCATGAAATTTGCTCTTCTTATGCAAGAGCCTCTAAAATAATTGAAAAAAATACCATGTCCTTTGATCTGGAAGTTGCATAACCAGGTAGGTGATAATTATATCTTCACCCAGCTCTGAAACAGCTAAAGTTTGAAAATGTCACTAAGCTAAAGGACAATTATGGTTGTTTGCCCAAGTATTTGTGGCTTCAATTTTATTCTCTTTCAGACTCATTATGGAGCACATGCTCACACAAAAGATGGTCTGGCTCACCGGCCTTCAGAGAGGACAGTCCTAAGCTAACAGATCAAGGGACCAGGACTGCATTGCCCAAGGCACCCACTACCCTCATCCCACCAATGGCGCAGCGACCTTCAGATAATTCCCTTACAGACCGCACCTGCTTTTAGACTCGGCGAAGGGGGCGCACAGTTCTGGGTCTGGATCCAACACGTGCTCGACTTCCTTTTGGGCTTTCTCATACATCTTTTTTCTTTCCGTCTGAGCTTTGTCTGTCTCCACTGCAGGGAAATCGTAATACCCCTTCCTCTTGGCTTTGAGGCGCAGCTTGTTCCGGTAGTGTTCGATGTCTGACTTCTGCTTCAGGGCTTTGTTCACCTGGGGAGAGAGATCGTCTCAGGTCCACACCTGACCCTGCACAGCGGAGGGTCACAACTCCAGGAGAAGTAATCCTAGGCTTCATGTCCAGGCCTTCGAGCCAGCCATGACCCAACTGTGATCCCTTCCAATACCAGCTCACGACAGCGGGCCACAGACAACGTGGAGTCTGGCCCACACCTACGTTGCCTGAGACCTTCCACCAAAGCCTCCTATTCCCTAATGTACCTGAGTCTGTTCAGACATAGGCCTGAGTCCACTCTTTTAGCTTTGTGGCGTGGGCCTCAATCCCACCTAAACCTTTTTTGTCCCCCCTGCATGAGAGCCTCTGACTGAGCAGCCCAGCTGGATCTTGGTGCCCAATTCTAGGTTCAGCCCTGAGGAACCCAATAATCTCCCTTGGCCATTCAGTTGGTGCCCACCTGGATAAGACAGGCGGTTCCTGGGGAGGCTGAATTGAGACGAACGGGGTGGGAAGGGGCAGCACACACCCTGCTCCCAAGGTCTCTCCACACTATCAATCTGCATTTGAGTGCTTATTTTTGTCAATTTATATTTTTCTCAAGAGATAAGGAATTTTGAAGCCTTGTATGGTCACCAATGCCAACCAGTTTCTGCTCTAAAGGGCAAAGCCAGTCTGGTCTTCTAAAAAGGAACATACCTTTTGACCTTCAAAGATACAAACCAGCCCTAGCTGGTTTGGCTCAGTGGATAGAGCATCAGCCTGCAGACTGAATGGTCCCAGGTTCGATTCTGGTCAAGAGCACATGCCTGGGTTGCGGGCTCAATCCCCAGTAGGGGTCATGCAATCAATGATTCTCTCTCATCATTGATGTTTCTATCTCTCTCTCCCTCTCCTTTCCTCTCTGAAATAAATAAAAAATATACTCAAAAAAGATATAAACAGATGATTATGCTAAATAAACAACAAAGGATGAAGATGTTACACCCATGAATGAAACTGAATGGTGATATCTGCCTGACACTTACTGGATGACATGGAGAACCATTAGTGCTGTTTGTAATCAGACTTGACTATATTAATATAACCATGTGTAGTGCTGTTATTATGCTTTCTTTAAAATAATCTTTTTTAAAAAACATGTATTTATTGATTTACAGAGAGAGGAAAGGAGAGGGAGAGAGAGAAACATCGATGAGTGAATACTACTGATCGGCTTCCTCCTGCACGCCCTCCATGGAGGATTGAGCCAGCAACAGGGGCATATGTCCTGACTGGGGATTGAACCTACAACCTTTTGGTGTATGGGACAATGCTCAACCAACTGAGCAATGCTGGCCAGGGCTAAAATAATCTTTAAAAGAATTTCCTGTAATTCATAAAAGGAAAATTCACCTGGTGCATATATCAACCTACACAATATGAGGACCAAGTTTCACTATCTTAGATATTTTAGTTTTACAATGTTTGAAGAAATAATAATTGGAAGACATTTTCCCCCCTAACTTTTGCAAAGGATTTCCCCAACTGGGGCCCTAATTCTATTTTTAGACTGGAAGAATTTAACAAGTCTTCACTGTCCCTTCATTTTGCTTGCCACTGCAAAAACTAGGAAAGAAGGAAGTTAGGGTAACATCCTCTGGGCCAGGAATCCCATTTCTGGAATCTCAACTAAAGCAACATTCCATGAGAGGTTCAAAGTCAGAGATGAAAGTTAGTATCACTAGTAGTCAGACATATCAGGATCAGGTATTTCCTGATAGGATGCCCACAAAAAGGCCTAGCACCCCTGTGGTTATGCCAAAAATTACATAACCTCAGTCCCGTCACAAGAAAACATCAGACAAACTCAGATTGAGAAACTTTCTACATGACAAGTGGCCCGTACTCTTCAGAAGAGTCATGGTCATGAAATACAAAGAATGGTCACAAAGAATGACTATTCCAGACTGGAAGCGACTAAGGCGACAACTAAATGCCATGGAGGACCCTTGGTGGATCCCGAAATGGGAAAAGGACATCAGTGGGAAAACCAGTGAAACTCAAAGTGGTCTAAGAGTCAATAGTTAGTTTCCTGGGTTTGGTAATTATTCTATGGTTCTATAAGATGTTAACATGAGGGTAGCTATATATAGAGTGTATAGGAGGCCCTGTCTGGGTAGCTCAATTGGTTAGAGCATCATCCTGATGTGACAAGGTTGTAGGTTTGATTCCAGGTCAGGGTACATATGAGAATCAACCAAGTGGAACAACAAAGTTGATATATATATTTTTCCCCCTTCTTCTCCTTCTCTCTCTCTCTCTCTCTCTCTCTCTCTCTCAAAATCAATCAATAAAAATTTGAAAAAAGTGTATAGGAACTCTGTACTATTACTAAAACTCTTTTTTTTAGCTTAAAATTATTTCAAAATAAAAGCTCTTAAAATTATTAATTGAAGTGATATTTATAATAACCAAAACCAAAACTGGAAACAAAAACATACCTGGAAGGTTTGAACAATGGGAGATGAGTTTTTTAATCCATGGCATACCTTCTCAACTAAGTCATTATTAATGATCATCAGCAAGACATGAGCAACACAGCCAATATCTAACATTCAAGATGATGGGATTCGAAAATATAAATGAGTTTGATCAAAAGCTTGAAGAAAAGGTGTAAGAGTGAAAACAGAGGATATCCTAGAGTCGTGAAATTACAGTGATTTTTCTCTTATTTTCTGAACTTTCTATGTTGCTATGTTTTCTTTAAAATAATCTTTGTGAAACCATCATTCCCTATACATGTTATAATTTTTTTCAGACTCTTAGGAAAATTAATGACCACATGATATCAATAGAAATCCTTCTAAGAGCAGGGAAAGGGTTGTTTCAGTCTTGCTCCAAGGAGTGAAATTCATTTCAAAGGCTATAGCGTGGGCACATCCCTGTTCGAGTGACAGGATCCTCTCCAGTGCCCTCTCACATTAAGCCCCTTGCAATTGGCATCCGATAATGAACAGTTTAGGAGCGTTATCAAGAAAGGTAAGACTGTATGTGGGGAGGAGTTTCTGAGGTTTCTCTTCATAACTACAGTTTTTAAAAAGCCCCCTCTAGACTTCCTAGAATGAAGGTAAAAACGATGCTCTGAAAACATCACCTAACAAATTTGTTTTGGGGGACTTGTGCCCTGATTCATTCCACTGAGGCCTGTGCACGCAGAGGTGAAAATGACCAAAAGAGCAGCCTGCCCCCGGTGTTCCCAGGAGGTGCTCCTGGCTGCCTGGCCTCTCTCCCATTCTGGGTGCTCAGGTGCTCACCTCACCGTTGAGCGCTGCGGCCTCCTGGCTCCGGTCCGGGGTGGGGTGCACCACAGGGAGGGCTGTGGGTTTGACTGCGATGAGCTGCACGGATCCAGAGGACGAGTCAAAGGGATCAGCAGCCGCCTTCCCGGAGCTGTCAAACAGAACTGCGCCTTCCTCTTCATCACTTGCGGGCACTGAAGCAAGTACAAATAAGTACATCGGTTTTATGGCCGGAGGGGAGCCTCAGGAACATGGGGGATTTATGTGTGATGCTAACAGCCCAAGGACATTACTTGACTCAAAATGACCTCAGAAACAACAGTGTCTGGTTCTGTGCCAAGGGCTCACTGCTACTCATGCATTTCTTTTAAACGTAAGGCCTACTGTGTTATCCATGGGTAGGAAAGAATTTTAAAAGTCTGAATGTAAATAGTAAAAACCATTTTTTTCAAACTTGCGAAAAAAACCTTTAAAAAAAAAAGTAAATTTTTTTTCTCCAAGTTTGAGTCAGAGATGGGAAAATGTTTGCTATGTTTGCAAGTTCACCAAACATGGAACTCTTCTTAAAATATGACAATCCATTGAGTAACAGCATTCAGTTCAGTCTCTGCCACCAGAGTGACCCATTTTTGCACGATGTTAAGGTGAGAGTCTTCCCTGGTCAACCAGCCATAGTAACTGCAGCTGACACTTTTTTTCCCCCCTAAAGGCTGCTTCTCAATGATTTGAGTTTCAGTTTCTTTCTTTTGTCTAAAACAAAAGAAAGCTAAGAAATAACCCACCAGAGAAACTAATTTAAAGCTACAGACAACTCCCCTAATTAAATAGAGCAATTTTCACCCACACTCTTTTGCATTAATTCTCGCCTCTGACAGATGATAATTCTACTGTGATTGCTGCCAGAACTAAGCCGACAGGAGGAGTTCCAGGGCCAGTGGTACTTGCTGATTTACCTCTCCTTGAAGCATCTTCCCATTAACTGACGATAAGAATGACAGTTTGTTGAGCATGGCTGGGCGAGAGATAAATTAAGCCTGTTCAAGCAACTAAACCAGCAGGCAATTTAGGAACAAAATAGGTGTTATTAAAATACGAATGTAATAGAAGTGTATTTATCTTTCCTCCTGTCTGCTCAAGAGATTGGGATGTTATTTAAATCATTGAGAAGCACATAGTTTGTATCATTCTGTCGCTTGCCATAATCACCGAACATTTGTCAAATTAAGCCAAGTAAATTGTGGCTAAAACGCTTCAGAGTTTAACAATGGCTATAATTGGAGTATTTTTCGGTTCTGTGGACTTACTGGCAAATAGCAGGCCATCACACTGCCAATGACAGAGGACAATCTCTATTCAGACATGTTACCGGATGCATAGGAGTTTTGTGGGGCACTCCTGTCTGACCCCCATTATCTCCCACCTGGACACCTGCTATGAACACCATCTATGGTAGCCAGCCTCCCAGATGGCGACCTCCTCACAGTCACAGACACCATAAATAGGACCGACCTGAGTAACCACAAAAAAATTGCAGAAATGACCGTGTGCTACTTCCACGGCTAGGTCATGAGGACACATTGTGGCTTCCACCTTGCTTTCTCTTGGACCCCTTACTCTGGGAGAAGCCAGCTGCCATGTTATGAGGACATTCAAGTGGCCCTATGGAGAGGTCCATGTGGCAAGAAAATGAGACTCCTGCCAACAGCCATGAATGAGCCATCTTGTAAGTGGATTCGGCAGGCCCAGCCAAGTCTTCAGAAATGACTATAGCCCAGACTGTGACCTCATGAGATTCTGAGCCCAAACCACCCAGCTAAGCCACTCCTGGATTCCTGACCCACAGACATCATCCAACACCATAAATGCAGATTGTCGCTTTTGGTTACTAGGTGTGGGGGTGATTTGTTACGCAGCAATAAGTAACTAATACACCTCCTAAACGACTCCCTCCTCCAAGCTTCCAGTCTTGTCCTCCAATCCCTAAAATGCATACTCCCCCAGCAGGCAGGATGGATCTTTTTGAAAGACAACCAGGTCACAGTACTCCCTTGACCAGAACCCTCTGAAGGCCTCATGTCTCTCAGAATAAAACTCCGGCTGCCCAGGTTCTGTACAATCTGGTCCTGGCGACCTTACCGAGCTCATTCCTCCTTCTCCCCTTCACCCCCTCTCCAGCCACAACAGCTTCTGGAACACAGCAGGCTTGTTCCCACCTCGGGGTTTTGTACTAGCTGTTCACTCTGCTCAGAAAGCTCTTTCCCCAGGTCTTTGCATGCCTGGTTCCTTCTTAGTTTTCAAGTTGCTGCTTGAAAAAAGACTTTCCTTTTCCACCCGCCTAAAACAACCTGCCTCATCACCCTGTTATATTTTCTCCACAGCATGCAACGCTCTTTATTTGTGTGCTGACACTAGACTAGGAGCCCCATTCTTGCCCATATTTTTAAAGGCAATACCGATTGCCTTTAAGAACATCTCCTAGGTAGCTGGCTTTCAATAGGGATTTGCTGAATAAATGATGAATAAAGGAATGACTAAAATTTCCTGACTTGGAAAGGAGATGTTAGTACCTGCAGAACAGGTAAACATGCAAAGAGATGGTACTTCATACTTTTATTGCTTCTGGGTTGTGACATCCTCCCTCCCCGCCCCATGGACAGGATAAGGGGAGGAGCATAACTCTGAGGAGACAGAAGAAGGATGTACAAACTACAGGTCATTTTTCATTCTCACTCTCAGAATGGTCAGATGCAGATTTGCACAATAATTCCTCTTGGTTTAAGAGAAAAATAATTAGTGATCCTCCCCCCCGCCCTCAAAAAAAAGAGACTATATGGAAAAATACATTAAAGGGCATTACATTAAATATTAATACTAAAATGCTGTGTGAGTCCAGCAGGTTCATGGGAATATTTAATGCATAATCAGTCCCGAAAGAAAAAGCACCAGAGAATGCTAAACAAAAGGGCCACCATTAAACTGCTGGAGTGTCCTAGATACCACCGCCGTCATCCCAGTAAATGCCGCCATGCGGATCTGGTTGTGTTGGTCTGAACTTCTGCAAATCAGGCTAGGAAGGGAGATTTCGTTTCTTGATGTTTATTTTACATTGGCATGGCGGGGGAGGGGGCAAGCCCTCCCATTTGAGGCAGAAAATGCTCTTGAACAATGCACGCTCTTTCTTTCTGGAATTTCCCTTAAAGCTCAGAGAAGATTTATAACTAGCGTCACCACCCTCTGGTGTTTATCAGATAACAAGCAAGTCTTCACCTCTCATTGAGAAGGCACAGAAAGAATTAAAACTGAAGCTCTATTTCTGAGCTAATATCTGACCTGTCTCTCAGTGTCTTAAAGGAAGGTGTGCAATTAAGGGTTTATGGAAGTTTTTGCTTTTAAATGACTGAACATTTAAATATATATATATATTACGTCCTCATTTTGAACTCATTTTTAACTCGTTTCCCAGAAAACACTTTTTCTAAGGTGACATTGGTTTTTTGTTTGTTTGTTTTTTTAATTTCAGAAAGAGGAAGGGAGAGAGTGAGAGAAACAACGATGAGAGAGAATCATTGATTGGCTGCCTCCTGCACGCCTCCTACTGGGGATCGAGCCCAAAACCCAGGCATGTGCCCTGACCAGGAATCAAATTGTGACCTCCTGCTTCATGGGTCAACGCACAACCACTGAGCAACACCGGCTGGGTGATATCGGTTTTAATTCAAAAGTTGAAGTGTCTGTATTTGGTTGAAAAAAATTCCACATTCTTTTGCTTTCAAAATCCTAGCTGTCATCTCTGTTTTTCCCATTTGTATTTAAACATCGTCCTGAAACAGACTCTAAAGTAGGGAGCTAATGAGGCCATTGAGCTACAAGGACCCACCCAACCGCGTTCCTGGAGGGATAATGTCTTTCCCTTTTAAAGATTTCATTTTCGCAAAAGTGGAAAATCACAAGGTACAAATGCAACAAAACTGGTGGGAACCAAACAGTTTCAGAATGACAGCCTGGATGGAGCATTAACATTTGTTCATTAACCTTAGTAACTCTAACCTCTAGAATGGATACCGAGCCATAAAACAACAGTATCTGAATATTCCATACAATAGTCCATTCTCAGAGACCACAGTCACACATTAAAATGCCTTTCGCAAGCTGACAATATACTTTTATATTTCTCCACCATTTCCATGTTATTTCCTTCCTTCCTCCTTCCCTCCCTCCTTTTCTCCTATTCCTTAGGTTCATCTTCCAATCCAATAAAACACACTACTGATTTTTTGGGGGACGGGGGGGGGGGGGGG